TGCTAAAGAGATTTGGTGAAAAATCCTGAAAAGGGTGTAAAACCACTCATTTGGGGGAAATATTCTCAAGTGAGAAACTTATTTCTCCTGTCCTTCCCTTTTTCTATTAACAGAACCTCCTATTTGGCTCCATTCTTTTTTTTAAAAAAATATTTTATTTATTTTTATTTTATGTGTATGCATGTATTGCCTGCATGTAGGTAAGTGCACCCATGTCATGCAATGCCTGCGGAGGACAGAAGAGACTGTTGGATCCCCTGGAACTGGAGTTACGGACAGTTAGCTGCCATGTGGGTGCTGGGATTCGAACCCGGGTCTTCTGCAAGAACTAGTGCTCTTAACCGCTGAGCCATCTCTCCAGCCCCTCATTGCTTGTTTTTTTGTTTTCTGAAACAGGGTCTCCCTATAGCCCCTGCTAGCCTGGAACTCTCTATGTAGGTCAGGATGGCCTTGATCTTACAGAGATCTGCCCATCTTTTCCTGGGATTGAAGGCATGTGCCACCACAATCAGCTTGTTGGCTCCATTCTTAAAGCTTCTGTTTCTCAGTATTGCCACACTGGGGACAAGCTTCCACTACATGATTCATCAAAGGACACACCCAAACTGTATCCAAACCATAGCAGTTATCCTCCATCATTCATATGCTGAAGCACATCCCCAATGTAATAGAATTAGGAGGTGGAGCCTGAGAGGTGATTAGCTGATCAGGACTTTGGCATCCTGAATGGGACAGTGCCCCTTTGAAAGCGATCCCAGAGCTAGCTAGCCTCTTATTTCCTATGGGATGCAGTGAGAAGGTCCTGACCAGACACTGAATCTGCTGGTGCTTCTTCTTAGACATTTTAGCCTTCGGAACTTCGAGAAATAAGTGTGTATTGTTTATAAGCCACCCAGTGTAAGGTGTTTTATTATACACTAAATGGGCTGGCACAGGGGTAAAGGATGTGTGTACAGCAGCATCCTTGTTAGTATCTAGGGAATTCCCTGATAGACCGCCAGGGGTTGGAGGTAGGTACTTTGAACTCAAAGCTAGGTGTGTAGTGCTGGGTATGCCTGGGAATTTCTAGATATTGCTACTCTGAACAAACTGAGATTTGTCCAGGGCCTGGCTTTTGAAATTGCTGCATCTCACCACACATCCAGATTTCTTCTTTTGCCTAATTGCCTCTGTCAATGATGACCAGTAAGGCTGAAAGGAGTGACAGGTAACTGCAACCAATGGACACTTTCAGAAGTACCTGTCTGAGGTGGTACCTTGATTTGCAATTTCTAGAGCATGGAAACATCTATCACTCTGCATATATGTAATTTAATTAAAAAACTACAGAAACAGAGCTGGGGATGCAGCTCAGTGGCAGAGTACTTGCACATCATGGCAAGGCTCTGGATGGGATCCTTATCCTCAGACTCTATAGGCCATATTTTAAATTGGGCAGAAGATAGTTGGGGAAGGTGTGGATGGGGAGGGGATCTAAATGCCATCAAACTATATTGTATGAAATTTGCAAAAATCCAATTAAAATTAAATATTTATTTGTTTATATTATGCCTGTGAGCATTTTGCCTGCATGTTTGTTAGTGAACCTCTGTATGCAATGCCCATAGAGGCCAGAAGAGGGCATCAGATCACCTGGAATGCTGGATGATTGTTAGTTGCCATGTGTATGTTGGGAACTGAACTGGGGTCTTATGCAAAAGCAGCCAGGGCTCTTAACTGTTGAGCCATCTATCTTGCCCCTGGATCCACATTTTTTTAAAAAATTAAATATTTTATTTATTATTTTTATTTTATGTGTATGCATGCATTGCCTGCATGTAAGTAAGTGCACCCACGTTGTGCAATGCCCGCAGAGGTCAGAAGAGGCTACCGGATCTCCTGGGACTGGAGTTACAGACAGTTGTTAGCTGCCATGTGGGTGCTGGGATTCGAACACGGGTCTTCTGCAAGAACAGTCAGTGTTCTTAACCGCTGAGCCATCTCCCTAGCCCTTTTGGTCTTTTTGAGACAGGGTTTCCCCTGTAGCCACAGCTGGCCTGGAACTCACTATGTAGACCAGGCTGGCCTTGAACTTGTAGAGATCTGCCTGCCTCTGCCTCCTGGGTGCTGGGATTAAAGGTGTGTGCTACCATTCAAGAGCATGGACTCTGGAACAGACTATCTAGGTCAGAGGTCTGCAAACCATGGCCTGATCTGCTCCCTGTCTTTGCAGAGTCTAAAAGCTAAGTACTTTTTTTTCACACTTTAAAGTGATTGAAGTCAAAATAATAATATTTGATGACTTGAAAGTTACATAAAACTCTAGCTTCAGAGTTCACAACAAGCTTGACAGAAAACATCTATGCTTATTCCATAGACATTACTGTGAAACAACCGCATAGCAGAGTATCTATGGCAGGTGACTGGACTGCAATGTGTTTATTGTTTCTTTACAAAGTTTGATGATGCTGGCCTAGGTTCAAATCCCAACTTTTTAGTTCACTATCATAACCCTGGGGAAGTCACAACATCTCTGGGTCTCAGTTTCCTCATCTGGAAAATGGAATGAGTTAGTATTAATACTTATTATGAGGATTACATAAACCAACATTTTGCAAGTACTTAAACTGTCTCGGGGCTGGAAAGATTGCTCAGGGTTAAGAGCACTGGTTATTCTTGCAGAGGACCCGGGGTTTGGTTCGCAGCACCTACATGGCAGCTAACAACTGTCCTGACTCCAGTTTCAGGGGATCTGACACCGTCTTCTGTCCTCTGTGGACACTGGACATTATGGGTGTACTTATACACATGTAGGCAATACACTCATACACATAATAAAAAATAACAAAATACTAACAGTCAAACATGCCTGGCATGTGGTAAATGCATTATGTGTCTGAAATTGGAAGTCTATAGCTTGGTAACTTGAATCAGCTTAATATTAAGGAATAAGGAAAAGTACATTTATTTTTAGTTTACAAACATTACTTCTTATATGGATAGAATAATAATTTAAAGTTGAATCTAGATTAACAAAATCTAGGATTTCAAATCTATAACTTTAATAAGTTAAATATTAAGCAATCTCAGTAATTTCATTAGTCTTGTCTGAGAAGCAATATGGTATAATGAGCTGGTATTCGGAGTTACGTTTACATTGATTTTTAAAAAAATATTAAAAATTTTTGTGTATGTGTGTGTGAGTGTAGGCATATGCATGCCATTGTGTGTGTGTGTGTGTGTGTGTGTGTGTGTGTGTGTGTGTAGAGGTCAGAGGACACCTCTCAGTTCTCTCCTGCCACCTTGTGGGATGGGGGATTGACCTAAGGCCATAAGGCCTGTGTGCAAACACCTCTACTCACTGAACCATCTTGTCAGCCCTGCTTGCATTCATTTTTGACTTCCTAGATGTTTGATTCAGGGAATGTCTTATTTGTAAAACAGGATTAGTAATCTTTTTCTTAGGGGTATTATCAAGATTATGATGATTAAAAAGGGTTAATGCTCCTCAAGTGTTTAGTGCAACACTTGGGGCTTAAAAAGCATTTCATAAGCATCAGTTATTATTATTACCATTCTCCCAAAAGCTTGGAATAGTGAACTGCTGGTAATCAGTAGCTAAACTTTTAGCAAAGCGGAAGCGTGTGGAGTGTTCTGAGTGCTACTGGAAGATACCTTTCTTTTTCCTTGATGTTCTGAAATTCAAACGCATCATATGCTTTCAGTTAAACACAGCTTTCTCCAGTAAACCTCTTATTTAGAGTATTTACCTTCCCAGAGGGCATCCTTTCCTCCTTGGTGTGGTTTAATTTACTAGGTGCTAGGTATTTTCCTTACAATGGTTGCCCTGGGAATAGTGGACACTCAAGGACTGGGATTTGTGGTCAATAGAAAAATGGGGTCAGGGCCTCTGAAAGACCTGAAAAGGTACGAAAGACAGAAACGTTACAGTGTTCTGTTCTGCTCAACCATTCCATTTCACTGTAGCTGTTAGGGAAACTTAACTTTTTCCTAGGGATGAATTTACACAGCCAAGCCCCTGTGCTCCCCAGGGAGTCTACCTTTGAAATCTTCAAGGCAGCAAAGAACCAAGCCTGCCCCAGGGCGCCACCTGCTGCCCATCTGCCTCCTCTCCCTCATCCTGGGAAGGGCTGGTTTTGCCTCTCAGGTGCTAACCCTATCCTAGCCCACCTACCTACCTTTGAACCCCATCTGCCCTTGACATCAGGTACTCCCTTGGTCTTGGACCCAGGTGAAATATCAGGGTTTGTTTCCCAGTGACCTTGAAGTTTGACACCTGAGCCAATTCTCTGGCAGGTGGTGGAGCCTGAGGCTTGGGCTCATGTTCCGTGATCAAAGGTATTTCTGGCCACATGTTCTTCCAACCTGGAGTGGTGGGAATTAGGCCATCGTGACCTTGACCAGTGGAGAGGGTGGGAGGACAGAGAGGTGACTCACTGCACCGGTCCTGCTCCTTACCGGTTTGCGGTCTCAGGGTGCGTTGGACCCTATTTTAATCACCAGAATTTGTCATCATCCGGCGCTATTTTCCCCAGTACGCGGAGATGGTAGAGCAATTGGGGGCAGGCCTCCGTCTCCATGGAGACTGTGACGCTAACTTGAAGGTGGTCAGGCCTAGGAAGCTGGAGCAGGCCCCAGAAATTTTCCGGGTCGGCCTTTCTCTTCGCCGTCAGAGGCGGGTTTAGAGGAAGAAACTGAGGCCCAGGAAGGGTAGCTGAGCCCAGGATTCTGCGCCCTTGGCTTTCTTCCAAAGCCCGAGAAGCCCCTCTTGGCTCCATTCTTTGAATTTTCCACTAAATAAATCCTAGCTTCGAGGGTCCCATTGGTGAGATCCTGGAACGTATAGCCCACGACTTCACCTTTAAGGCTCTCTTCCCCTTTAAGACTCTCGGCTCCTCCCGTCAGGCTGAGCAGACTTCAGGCCCCGCCCCCTCACTCGGTTCAGTTTGGGCCCCGACGCGACCGGCGCGGCTCCTTTAAGGCCGAGCCCCGCCCCCTGGCTCCCCGCCCCCTCCCATCCTCCACCCCCCGGACCGGGTGTCCCGGCGGGTCGTGCAGCTAGGCGAGCGGCGGTGAGCGCCGGACCCCGAGGGGGCGCGGGGTCGAGGCTGAGCTGTGGCCTCCGCAGCGGGCTTCTTGCGGGTCGGGGCGGTGATGGGGTCGGGAGCGCTGGGCCTGGATCGGAGCAGCGGGGGAGGGGCTCAGGTGACGCGGGAGGGACGGGGTCCCTGCAGCAATCGCCTGACTCCTGGGTGAGGGATCCGGGTGCGGTGGGGAGGCGTTCCCGCCCTCCCTGGTCCAGCTAGTGTCCCCCGCCATTGATGAAGCTGCTCCCTTGGGACCCAGGCCCCTTTGTGGGGCGGCTGTTGGCGGGTTTTGCCTCTGCGGGAGGAGCCCGAACTCTAAGCGGTGGCTTTTGGCGGGTGTGTGTGTGTGACAGGAGGACACAGGACTCCCCTTGGGCTGCGGACGGAGGTGGCGGGTGGCTAGGCTGTCACCTCCTGGCAGCCCGAAGGGTTGTGAGACCATCGTGAGCTCACCTGCACCAGATAAGGGGCTGAGGAGTGGGTTGGGAAAGAGTCTGGCTCGGGGACTTTAGTTCCAACCCTCTGTCCATCAGAGAGCTGGTGGTCACCATGGCAATGCGGGAGCTGGTGGAGGGCGAGTGTGGGGGTGCCAACCCGCTCATGAAGCTGGCCACCCACTTCACCCAGGACAAGGCCCTGCGGCAGGAGGGACTGAGGCCTGGCCCCTGGCCCCCAGGAGCCCCAGCCGCTGAGACGGTGAGTGCGCCAGGGTTGGGGAGCCCAGGTGGCGGGCTGGGATGGAGGGGCCGTTTGTACACCCCCAGATAACTACTTTCTCTGTAACAGCAGTTACCGCTTAATAACACTGTACTGAGTACCTGTGCATCTTTGTGTATGAGGACAGCTATTTTATAGACAAAGAAGCGGAGGCTTTGTGAAGTTTCCTGTCTTGACTAAGATCATATAAGTGATAGTTAGAATTGGACTGTATTCTCTTGGACTTCCTCACCCCCTTCCCTTTTCTGCCTTAGGTCTCAAAGCCGTTGGGAGTAGGCTCTGAAGATGAGGTAAATATAACAAATCTCTTTTCTGTCTGTTTTTTTGTCTATGGTGATTTATTATTATTATTAATTATTATTATTATTATTATTATTATTATTATTTATTTTGTAGTTTTCTTTTTAAATTTCTCTCCCTGTAGCCACAGCTGGTCTGGAATGCACTATGTAGACCAGGCTGGTCTGGATCTCCATCTGCCAGAGTGAGGAGTGCTGGTATTAAAGGTGTGGGCTGTCACACCTGGCTGATTTTTTACTTTTATTTTTGGTCTTTTGAGACAGGGTCTCCCTGTAGCCCCGGGCTGGAACTCTCCATGTAGACCAGACTGGCCTCCATCTCACTGAGCCTTTGCCTCCCAAATGCTGGGATTAAAGGCCTGTGCCACCATGCCTGACTCTTTTTTTTTTCACTTTTAAACAGCCCACTCATACTCTCCTCATCAAATGAGATTTATCTGCTAGTGTGTATTTTTTCCTTTTTAAAATATTCTTTGCGTTTCCATATCTATAAATAAAATTTTTTTCCTTTCTTTAAAAAATATTTTATTGGCTGGTCGTGGTGGTGCTCGCCTTTAACCCCAGCACTCGGGAGGCAGAGGCAGGCGGATCTCTGTGAGTTCAAGGCCAGCCTGGTCTACATAGTCTTTAGTCTTAGCACTCAGGAGGCAAAAGCAGTTGGATCTCTGTGAAATTGAGGCCATCCTGGCCTATATAGTGAGTTCTAGGACAGCTGTGGCTACAGGGAGACCCTGTCTCAAAAAGACCAAAAAATTTTTTTATTATTTATATTTAATATGTATGAGTATATGGCCTGAATAAGTGCACCTGTGTCATGCAATGCCCATGAAAGTCAGAAGGGGGCATGGAATCCCCTTGGAACTGGAGTTATGGTTGGTTGTTAGTCACCATGTGGGTGCTGGGAATTGAACCTAGGTCTTCTGCAAGAGCAGCCTGTGTTCTTAACTGCCGAGCCATCTCTCCAGTCCCTCCCCCCCCATTTTTTTTCTTTATGTGTCTATAGCTTCTGTTTTTCTTCGATCTGACATCAGTATTCTCCATACAATGGACCCTGACCCTTGCTAAGTCTTTCTGAAATCAATGGTCATTTCACCATCTCTCTTGATAGTTGGTGGCAGAATTCCTGCAGGACCAGAATGTTCCCCTTGTATCCCGAGCCCCTCAGACCTTCAAGATGGATGATCTCTTGGCAGAGATGCAGGAGATTGAACAGTCAAACTTTCGCCAGGCTCCCCAGAGAGGTGGGTTCAGGGTCTGGTGATAGAGGACACCACTGTTTTCTGTGCAAGGAGGTCAGAGGACCTCCATGCTTTGATCCTGCTGGCATCAGGAAACTGAGTTGCAGAGGAGGCGAAGGAAGTGCTTCTGTGCACTCTGGAATTTTCGTGAAGGAGCCATAGATGCTTGTTCTCTTAGTGTTCTCTCTCTCTTCAAAGCCCCTGGTGTGGCAGACTTGGCCTTGTCTGAGAACTGGGCCCAGGAGTTTCTTGCAGCTGGAGATGCTGTGGATGTAACTCAGGATTATAATGAGGCTGACTGGTCCCAAGAATTCATCGCTGAAGTTACAGGTGAGACTTGTCATGGAACAATCTAGACTAGTTCCCGTGGAGCATTTAAAGTTCCGTTCTGATGTCCTAATTCCTTTTAGGATATAAGGTGATTTTGAATACTAAAGACTTTTCTGGCCTCTGGATTCATTTTTTTGTAGGGTACTAGATGTGATATGTTATAGTGGTATTGAAGAAATAACTAAACAGAAGACTGGTTTGATGGAGTAAGATGAGAGAGAGAGAGAGGAAAAAAGGGAGGGAGGGAGGGACGGAGAGAGAATGAATATGAATATGAGGGAGGTTAGGTCTACCTCTTTATTTTTGGAGACTATTGCTTTAGTGTAGTGGAGAGGAGCGCCAGAGATTGGATGGATGGCTCAGGAAGAGAGAAATATTCACCGTAGCACCTGGGATTCTGGCATTAAGTCATCTTGAATAGAACTGGGGCCTGGGACAGTATGATTGTGGAGTTCAAAGGCTTGAAGTATATTAGGCTGTCAGTGTATCTGTAGGTTCCCCATCTGTAGATTCAACCAACAGTAGATGGAAAATATTTGTAAATAATTAGGTATGTACTAAACACATCTATTTAGTTTTTAAACAGGATCTCTTGTAGCCAAGCTGGACTTCAACATCCTATTAACTGAGATTGATCTTGAACTCCTGATCTTCCCAGCTTAGCCTCTTGAGTACCTGGATGACAGGTGTGAATCACCATACTTGGCTATGTGTATATTTCATTATTCCCGAAATAATAGAATATAACCATCTAGAGATGATTTGAAATAATGGGAGGATGGCTTATATGCAAATATATAATTTTATATAAGAGACACGTCTGCAGTTTTTGTGTCTGTTTGAGGTTCAGGAATCATTCCTTCAGTGATACTGAGGAATGACTAAATGGTCTTTGAGAGCAAAGACCATCTATGATGATAAAAATTAATATTAGCTGTTTAGTTATTGTGTTCTGAGCCATGTTCAGTGGTTTGAATGCATTATTCATTTATCCCCATGAGAGCCCCAAGTTCTGCCTTCTGTTTTTAGACTACTTTTTAGATAAGAATCCTGAGGTTTTGAGGAAAAGTAACTTGCTTAAGGAAACACAGCTTTGTAAGTGATGTAGTTTTTTTATTTAAATAGAATATCTTTTATTTATTCATACATGTAAATAATGCATCTTGATTATATGTACCCAAGCTCCCCTTCCCCCTCCCCTTAGGAACCCCCAACTCCTCCCACTCCCCCAGGCACCCCCAACACTCCCCCTCCTCCTTTCATGTCCTCTCAAGTGAGTTCATGACTGCACTGGTTATGTCCCGTCCAGAAGACAGCATTTCACGGTATTCCTCTGGCTCTTACGTTCTTTCTGCCCCCTCTCTCTCGCTCTGTGTGTGTGTGTGTGTGTGTGTGTGTGTGTGTGTGTGATAGATGTCCCACTTAGGGCTGAACACTCAATAGTTACTTATTCTCAGCACTTAGAATAGTTATGGATCTCTGCATTAATTGCTGACAACTATAGGGAGAAGCTTCTCTGACCAAGGATGAGGGCTACATTAATGTAGGGTTGAAGCATACATATTTAGAAAGCAGTTTGACAATAGTAGTAGATTCCTCCTTGGAGTGTATGTGAGATTTGAATCCGGGTTTTGAGTAATTCCAGACCCTTTGAACTCAACTGTTATTCTATTCTACAAGGCGTGCAGTTTATGCTCTTTCTTGGCTGTAGACTTAAGGGTCTCTGCTTAATGTGTGGCTTTCTGTCTCGCTGGGGATTGATTCTTCTGTGCTAAGCCTGTCTGATTAGGGCAAAGGGGAAGGGCAGTGTGTTTTTGCCTCCCTCTTCCTGGCTACTCAAAAAAAAAAGAAGCATTGTTTGCTTTGTTCCACGTTAAAGAATCAAGAATGATAAAAGATACAAATGAAGAAAGCTGCAAAGAGTCTAGCTTTCAGGAAGGTCACATCATCATCATTTATGAAGTTTTCTGAGATTATGGGCCCTAATTGGTTTCTCTGCCCTCCTAAAGATAGGACTTCCTTCACACACAAGAGAAAACCCCCAGAACCTAACAACCAGTGTAAGCTATTGGTCTCCATCAGAACTCCCTTTCCCAAAGTAAGGTAGAATTAACAGTGCTCCTGTTCATTATTGGTGCTCAGCACTTTGTGTTAACCATCTTCACCACTGTGGCAGGGTATCTGGCATAATGTACGGAAAAGGGGTTTCTTTTGGCTCACAGCTTTGGGGGTCACATTCAGTTAATTCTAGGCCTGTGGTGAGAAAACGTTGTGTCAGGAGAGCCTGTGTCAAAACTACTTACATCATGGCAGACAGGAAGCAGAAAAAAATTGTGCTTCTTGCTTTCTCCCCCCTGTTAACTCTTCATGCCCCAGCCTTATGAGATGGTACAGGCATATTTAGGATGGTTCTTCTCCACTTTGTTAATCCTCCTGAAAGCACACCCTCGGACATACCTAGAGGAGTGTTTTACTGATCTAGGCATCTGTCGGCCCAATGAAGACAGCAAGATTTATCACCAACGCTTCATATTCTTTGTTTTGTTTTTGATTTTCTGAGACTTTGTCTCCCTGTAGCCCCTAGCTGTGTAGCCCATATCTCAGAGATCCGCCTGCCTCTGCCTCCAGAGTACTGGGATTGAAGGCGTGCACCACCACACCTGGCCATGCTTCTTATTCTTAAATTCCTTTGCTTTTTACATGACACTTAGAATGTAGGTATTTTTCACATTAGTATTATTATTATTGTTCCTTTTTTATTTGGTGTTGGGGATTAAACCTAGGAGGTCATGCGTGCTGGGCACATGCTTTACTATCTTAGCCCTGATAATTGTAAAATGTTAACATTTTGTGGAAATGTTATTTTAGAAATAACAGAAAAAAGGTTTAGGAAACAGATTTAGAAAGGTATAAAAAGCTTTGTACAGAGTACAGAGAGCATCAGTAAGGGCATACGCACACTCATGCCTGTTTGTTCTTAGGCTCCACGCTTTTGAAAACTATTACTCAAAAGGTGAGACTGTTCCCTGTGGAATTGCCTCAAGTCAGAATCTGAGGTGTGGCAAAGATCTTCTGCCAACAGAACCTTTCCGGTTTCACACAAACCTTAAACCAAGTGAGACATCTTAGTACAGAGACGACTTTGGTAATGTTGGACATTAGTTATTTTCAGTAATTCAAAAGTAACAAGCAAACAAACATACAAAACCCAAACTATTATTGCAACTAGTAAGAGTCTAGATTTTGTTAAAATTAATTGCTCAAGTGAAGTCTTCCTTAACCTGTAAGTGGAAACAGCTTTAGAAAAACATGTTAGACCTGTGTCACCTGTTAACTTGTCTTGGGAAGGCTCTTCTGTTTTGCATATTCTTTTGGCACTGTTTCTGCTTCACAGAGATGGATGTGGGTACCTGGAAGGGGGAACCTGAGTTGTCTGAAATTGTCTTCTTGTAGTACTGTATTGCTTTGCATATATAGTAGGTCTTTGGTAGTGAATTGAGATTCGGGAGAAAAAGCTAAAAGAATTAAAAAAAATTTTTTTTTTTTTGGTCTTTTTGAGACAGGGTCTTCCTGTAGCCTCAGCTGTTCTGGAACTCACTATGTAGACCAGGTTGGCCTCGAACTCCCAAAGATCCACCTGACTCTGCCTCCCGAGTGCTGGGATTAAAGGCGTGCGCCACCACGCCTGGCAAGAATTTAATTTTCTAGAAGTTCATTTTTAAACAATATTTTTATTGATTCTTCGAGAAATTTTTTTGGTCTTTTTGAGACAGGGTCTCCCTGTAGCCACAGCTGGCCTGGATTTGCTATGGAGACTAGGCTGGCCTTGAACTCACAGAGATATGCCTGCTTCTGCCTCCTGAATGCTGGGATTAAAGGTGTGTGCCACCAAACCCAGCGATTCTTTGAGAATTTTATACAGTGTATTTTGACCATATTCAGACCGCCCCCATCTTCATCCTCATCCTTCTACCCCTCCTGCCCCTGACTTCATGTCCTCTATTATTTTTCCTTTCTTGAAGGCCTATCGAGCCTAATTTGTGTTCCCCACAAATTAGATCCATCCCCTGGAGCCTGGTCAATTTACCAGGCTGATTCTCTCTCTCCTAGCAGCTATCAGTTACCTATAGATCCTCAGCTAGAGCTGGGGTTTCCTGCCCATCCCCTCCTCCATGCTGGGTTTTAGTCTGGCTTGGCTTGCACAGGTCTTATCAGTGCTGTGAGTTCATATGTGCAACTGCCTGGTGGTGTCCAGACAAGTTTCCTTATATTCATCCACTGTCTCTGGCTCTTACAGTCTTTCCACCCATTCTTCCTCAATGATCCCTGGCCTTGGGAGGAGATTGCATGATAGAGGTTTCCCGTTTATGGCTGAGCACACTGCAGTCTCTTATTCTCTGCATGTTGATCAGTTGTGAGTCTCTGTGCTACTAATCATTTGCTGCAAGAAGCAGCTTCTCTGGTGAGAGATGCACTGATCTATGGGTGCAATGATAAGTCCTTAGGAGTCAGTTTTTGTGTCTGTTTAGTAGACTAATAGTAGTGGGTTCTCCCCTGTGGCCTGTGACCTGTCTAATAATTCATTAAAAAAAGAATCTTTCTCTTAGTATTTATGGCTGGTACGTCAGTGATATAGGTTAGCTGTTGTTTTATGGATAAGTAGATTTTGAGACAGGATCTTACACTCTTTTAAGGTATTAATTATTTTGTTTTTGGTATTGTGAGACAGTCTTACTGTGCAGCCCTGGTGTTTGAAGCTATGCTAGGCTGGCTTAAACTCTTGTCTGTCCCTCTGGGTATTGAGATTACAGGCATGTACCACCATGCCTGGCTTATTGTATTTTTTTGAGGCAGGGTCTTACTGTGGTAGCCCAGGATGACTTTGAACTCACAGTTCTGCCTCAGCATTCTAAGGTCTGGGATTTTAGGCATGTGCCATGATACCCTGCAGATTCTTATTTAAAAAAAATCCATTTTTAATATTCTAGAATTATTCAAAAGGAAACTTGGAGCTTATCTTTTTACTTTAGTTTTTTTTTTAATTTGGAAATTGATTACAGTTTTACTGGTATTTGAAAAGACAAGAAAAAGAACAGGAAAGTTCTGTATACCAGTTTCCCAGTTTCCCAGTTTTCCCAGTATTAATGGTAATACTTTGCCTAAGTCTTAGTTATGTGTAGTGCTACAGTCAGGAAATTGTCCTTGGTACAGTCCACAGAGCTCATTGGTTTCACCAGTTTTATGTCATTGTCTGTGTGAATAGTTTTATGCAGCTTCATCACATGTGTAGATGTGTAAGTGCCATCTGTCAGGAGCTTGTCCATCGTCATTCAGGACTGCACACACACATTTTTTTTTTTTTTTTTTTTTTTTTGTCTATCATATTTCCTGATTTCCTTAATTTATCCTGAAGGTTCTGGCCAATTCTGCACTAGAAACCTGCTCCAACAAGAGAATTAAATAAAATAACCAAAAGAATATCACTTTGGGCTGGAGAGATGGTTCAGTGGTCAAGAGCACTGACTGCTCTTGCAGAGGTCCTAGGTTCGATTTCCAGCCCTTCCACCGCCCCATAACAGCTAACAACTGCCTGTAACTCCAGTTCCAGGAGATTCAACATCTTCTTCTTGCCTCTGCAGGCATTGCACACATGCACATGGTGCACTTATAGGCAGGTAAAACACTCATATAGAATGAAAATCAATACTTTTTGCCGGGCATGATGGCTCACAGCTTTAATTTCAGCCCTTGGGAGGCAGAGGTAGGTAGATCTCTGTGAGATCAAGACCAGCCTGGTCTATATAGTGAGTTTTAAGCCAACAGGGGCTACAGGGAGGCCTTGTCTCAAAGACTGGAAAAAAAAAAAAAGTATCACTTAGCTTCACAATCTTTTTTGAGTAATTCTTACAAAAAATCAGATCCATTTGGATATGCCTGAGATCAAAGCAGCTAAGACCGGAGGAGGGGAAGGCATTGTCCTGGTCACATATAACAGTAGAGTTAAAGCCAACAACTTAGGTATCAGATTCATAATGTTCACCTCATACAACTTCTTGCTTGTGCATTCATGCTGTCTAAGCATATCTACTACAAGTTGAAAAATTAAATACTCAGAACTTCCTACCCTTATCAGTGTATGTTTCTGTGGAAAAAAATGTAGATTCTAGAGTCAGCCTAGGGTCACCTATATTCAACATGTCAGAGAAGTTACTTAAATTTCTTTTTTTAAAAAAATATTTTATTATTTTTTTTAACGTGTATGAGTGTATTGCCTGCATGTTTGTGAGCGTACCCATGTCGTGCAATGCTGCGGAGGTCAGAAGAGGACTTTGGATTCCCCTGGAACTGCAGTTAAGGACGATTTATAGCTGCCATGTGGATCCTGGGACACGAACCCTAGTCCTCTGCAAGAGCAGTCAGTGCTCTCAACTGCTGAGCCATCTCTCCAGTCCCATGTTACTTAAACTTCTAAGTCTTCATTTCCTAATCTATAAAACAGAGATAATGACAGATTCTTCATGGGGTGTCTGCAAAGATAAAGCATAGTAACAGTGTTAGCTACTTGCCATTACTGTAGAAAGTATCACAATGAGATGATTATTCTCTCTATTCCATAGCCTCTTCCTCTAGTCAGGAGCAAGGGAAGATAACTGTTACCTATAGGATCCAGAGAGCTGAATCTGTAGTTATTTAGAATCATTGAAATTAAGCCAGGCGTGGTGGCGCACGCCTTTAATCCCAGCACTCAGGAGGCAGAGGGAGGAGGATCTCTGTGAGTTCAAGGCCAGCCTGGTCTACATAGTGAGTTCTAGGACAGCTGGGGCTACAGGATAAACCCCTTTCTAAAAAAAAAAAAAAAAAAAAAAAAAAAAAAGAAACCTTGAAATTAAAACATCAATATTATAATCCCAAACAATTGCTACTATATTATGTATTGTATGAGTTATATTTATTTATAATTAGGTATGTGTATTCTGAGACCCTTGGTCTTTTGATTTTTTTTTAGATTTTGACATTACTTTTTCAGATTTTGGGGTTACTCTGTTGAAATTATTCAGGCAAAGTCTCAGGTAAACTGGAATGTACTTTAATACTGAGTGGATAAATGCGCCTTCTTGGTATTAAAAACAGTGACAGCCAGACCTTCAAATTGGGGACAAAGACTGGATGACCATGCCAGCATCTGGTATGTAAAGATGTGGACACAGAGCAGATGACAGGAGCCAAGGCTCCTGCCTTCGCTGCTCCTTATTCTTCAGGAGCACTGATCTGCCTCCTGGCTGTTTGGTTTCTTGTCCCAGGATGATTGGACAAAGTCCGAGAGGTTGAGAAACAGTTTAGCACCCTCATTCAGTATGTTGCCTTGATAGTGTTTGTTCTGAAGTTACACAGTACCCTTTGTAACTAGAGCTTCAGGATAACTTTAGAATTACACTGAAAAAAAAAAAACTGAGAAAACAAAACATGACCTCTTAAAATGAATTAAAGTGTCAAAGGAGTGCAGTGTTGTGGCTCATGCTTATAATCTCAGCACTCCAGAGGCTGAAACAGTGGATCCTGGGTTCAGGGCCAGCCTGGACTACATAGTGCAATCCCGTCTTTAAAAAACCCAAACAGGACCAGGTGTGGTGGTACACACTTTTCATCCCAGCACTGGGGGATGGGTGGGTGGGGGTGGACAGAGGCAGGTGGATCTCTGTGAGTTTGAGGCCAGCCTGGTCTACATAATGACAGCTGAGGATAAAGGGAGACTGTGTCTCAAAAAAACCAAGCCAAACCCAAACAAACAAACAACACCAAACCCCCCAAACAACAACAAAGTCACAAAAGCCAGAGTAGTGTTAGCTTCTGGGTATAGGGGCCTGAGGAGCCTGTAGGGAACTGCAAGTATCTGGGACCTCATCATGGTGGGGTTGTGAGTATTATGTATTTATATGCGGTCATTAATTAAGCTGTGTGCTCAAGTTTGGTCCAGTCTATGCTTTTGTGCTTTGTATGTTTCCATTAAAAAATGGAAAAAAGCAGCGTAAGTAGGAAGAGCAGACCCCAAAGGCATGCTATGACTGAGTAGGATAGGCCCAGGCACCCGCTCTCCTGTTCTTTAGCTCCTCGCTGGTCCCTGCAGTTCTGCTGGTGCTCCCTGTTTCTTACTGAGGAGGACCATGAACTTTTAAGAATAAGAATTTGAGCTGGGCATGGTGGCGCACACTAATCCTAGCACTCAAGAGGCAGAGGCAGGTGAATTTCTGTGAGTTCAAGGCTAGCCTGGTCCACACAGCAAGTTTCAGGCCAGCTGCAGCTACAGGGAGACCCAGTTTCAAAAAAAAGTAAGAATTTGGAAGAATGGGAAAGAGGAAGGGAAAAAAGAAAAAGGGGAGTAAGAAAGTAATAGAGGGGGTGAGTACGATCAAAAGTCATTATCTGGATGTGTGGAAATGAAATAATGAATTCCTCTTTTTGTACAGAAGATAAGCTTTCTGTATGTAGGGTGTGCCCACCTTCAACTTTCAGTCCTCGTTTCAGCCTTGTGAGGGCTAGGATTACAGGTGTGTACCCACCTGAGTTTGGGCCTTCATCCTTTCCTGAGTCTCTTTAGTAGGTCTCCTGTTCCCAGCTGTCCATAAACTTCCATCTCAGGCCCTCTGGGAATGACTTAGCCATTGAAGAGGATGTTGGGTATTTAGTAGCATTTTCTTTTGACCAAACAGGGTTCTCTTTGCTTTGGCTTGACTAAGAGAGTCAATGGGTCTGTATTACTTTCTCTTTCCCTGATTTTACAATGAAGCCTTGGTGAGTTCCCAACTTTTCTTTGCAGACCCCTTATCAGTGTCCCCTGCCCAATGGGCTGAGGAATATTTGGAACAGTCTGAGGAGAAGCTGTGGCTGGGGGAGCAGGAAGGAACTACTACCACTGATCGCTGGTGAGTCCAATGTCTTCTTCCTGGGTTGTCATGGAGAGTATGGTATTGGACAGTTTTCCCAGCCTCCTCCATTTGCATCCTCCCCAGCTTACAGTCCTTTTTCTACTTTTTATGTTAACATTTCCACTAGCGTTTTGATATTTCACTGGTAGGCAGGAATCCTAACTGTTCCATCAGGGATTCATAACCGTCTTATGTACCTTGTTCTCATCAGCCTACTGCTGTCTAATCTTTCTGCAGAGCTGTGTTTGGGAAATGGAAAAGTAAAAATCACAGCCCTTTCCCATGTCCACCAAGATAGCCTTCTTTAATGTCAGTTGGAGTTGTAGCTCCTCAAATAGTGGAAAGTGTTATTTGCCTCACACCACTCCTTCATAGGAATTCTCTTTGCCATGGGCCAGGATTGGGGAAGACCACAGGAAAGTAGTGGCTGACTGGGCTGTAAGAGTAGTTTTTCTTCTTTGCCATAGGTACGATGAATATCATCCTGAGGAGGATCTGCAGCACACAGCCAGTGACTTTGTGGCTAAGGTGGACGACCCCAAATTGGCTAACTCTGAGGTGAGTCACATCCCTCACCGCTGTGCTCAGCAGAGCTGGGAGTGAAAGGTAGCGTCTCTCTTCCCTCATCCTCCTTAGCTGGAAAGAGGAGATGAAGGTTTAGAATTAGTTCTCCTCTCTGGAGAATGGAGACTCAGGGTCTTGCCTCTGCTTCCAGTATTTCCCTCATTTCTTTGTCTGCTAACCCCTTTTCTTTTCTGGTTTCTTCTCAACTCTGTAGACAGAAATCCCTTTGTTTTTGATCTCCGCTTTCAGGGCCTTTAGCATATCTTGATGCAGCTAGAGATGGTCAGAGGGAAGGGCGAGCACAGGTGAGGGAATGGGGATTACTGGGAGAACACACCCAGAAGCCCTGTCCCAAGGTGCCAATGTGTGTCTCTGTGCCCCAGTTCCTGAAATTCGTGCGGCAGATTGGCGAGGGCCAGGTGTCCCTGGAGTCCGTTGCAGGGTCGGGCCGAGCTCAGGCAGAACAGTGGGCAGCAGAGTTTATGCAGCAGCAGGTAGGACATTACCGCTTCCCAGTCCCCCTTCAGAGGTAGCTGGGGCCCTAGGCTTGGGTCAGTGTTCAGTGGTTCTAGATGGGGAAGGGAGGTTATTGACAGCGTGTCTTTCTTATAGCATCCAGATCCTGAGTGGGTGGGAAAAAGATTCTGAGATTGTTCTCAGAGCATCCAGACTGGTGGTATTTAGTTGGTTTTCAGTCAGTCTATGTTAGTGGGAGGAAAGTTGGTGGAGGTGGCACTGACCACCCTTCTTTGTCACAGGACACATCAGAAGCCTGGGTTGACCAGTTCACAAGACCAGTGAACAACACTTCTACCCTTGATATGGAATTTGAACGAGCCAAATCAGCTATAGAGGTGAGAACTGCTTTGGTAGAAGTAGGTGCCCTAAAGATCACAAGTATCCCATGGAGGAAGGTGGTATATTATTAATACCTGTTTCATAGTGTACTGGAATATCTGTCAGAGCCACATAGGTAAGGGGTGGGTGCTTTTAAAAAAACGCAAATTCTTAGACATCATTCCAGATTACTGCATTAGCTCTGGGGGTCTGCATTTTACAAAAGCTTTTCTGATGATTCCTGAACACATTGCAATTTAAGGCCTACTGCCCTAAGGGAATGCATCCCCATAGAGCTGAGGGCAGGTGGGTGGTCATGAAGCATCTCCTTTCTCTACCCGCTTCCCTTCCTTTCAGTCTGATGTCGATTTCTGGGACAAGTTGCAGGCAGAGTTGGAGGAGATGGCAAAACGGGATGCTGAGGCGCACCCCTGGCTTTCTGACTATGATGACCTCACATCGGTTTCCTATGATAAGGTAGAGCCCCCTTGATTTCTGGGTTCTAGAATTTGAAGAGCATTGCTTCACATTGAAACAATTATTTTTTAGCCTCTTTTTGGGAAAAGATGTCTGATTGATACCTTGGCTCCTGCTCTCCTTCAGTAATTGAATGTATATTTTATTCTTGAGATTAAGAGGTTGCTAAGAGTGCTCTTGTCAAATAGTGTCGTGATATAATGCCTAGGAAGGCTTGCACATGATGCATTAAGAACATACATGAAGTAGCTCTACTTTGGAGGTTAGAGTGGGGGCAATTTGATCTGTTGCTGACTCCTCTGGTAGAGAGTGGTGGTTGATAGGTTGCCCTGTCTCCACGCTATAATCTACTTTTTTTTTTTT